TCAACCATTTTAGCTGTTTCAGAAGACTGTGAAGCAAACGAAGCATTTATGAAATGTGCAGTAAACGAGTGTGATGCATGTTGACTGCCACTACTACTACTACTACCACCACTACTACTACTCCTACTACTACCACTACTACTACTACTACTACTACTACTACCACTACTACAGCTACTACCACTACTACTACCACTACCACCACTACTACGACGACGATGAGGATGACCGCGTTTGTAGAGGAGGGCACACGCCATGACAGTTGCGGTAGCTAGCATGAACACACATTCTGTGCGCAAAACTTACGTTTGTGCGTGCACTTTTAGAGACATGCCTCGACAAATGGTACTGACTCGCCTCTTCCAACATCTGTGCGTCGGTACTGTAACGTGCTTATGGTGATGATGATGATGATGGTGATGATGACGATGACGCTGATGATGACGGCGATGCAGGTGCAACTATCTCAAAACCTTGCCGCGGAGGTTCACATGAGCTTGCCAACCAGCTTACTGTTGTGATCATGAACTTTGTCCTAAGAATGTAGGCTGAGGCTTATACTGGGTTCTGGTCTAGGGCAGCATCCACCATAGGATCCAGGTTTGGTCAGGAATGCCTTGCGAGGCGGTGCTTTCCCAAGCTCGTTTAGGGGCTTTTGGTCTCCATCTGCTTGGGGTTTGGGCGGCACTCTATCGTCGGCATATCTTCGCCGAGGAAGGAGGATCCTATAGCGGCCCACCTCGTTCTGGACAAGGTCCAACTGAAGAGCTGGCGCTAAGGGGCCGAAATTTTTTGCCAATCTTATTGCTCTGGGTGTCAGTATACTTACTCCTAGTAGCCCTAAACTCCTATTCTACTTGTGAAGGCTGCTCCATTACCAAACTTTTCTGGTCTCGCAGATGGACAGGTGGTCGGGCATGGGCTTCAGGTATAGACTAGATGATAAGGGGCTCCAGTGCCAGCCGAAGCAGCATGGCTCTGTTTGAGGGTTTTGGATACTAACGGGTTTAGGGTTTAGGCCGGTGGCCGGGTTGTGATGAGTCCTGGGCTGCGAAACGGGGATTCTGAGGGTTCAGAGTTTCGTTCAGAATTGAGACACGGCATTCCAACGCCCAGC